TATATATATATATATATATATATATATATATACACTTCTTTTCAGACACCAGTTGCTTGTCACATTCAGATTGGTTGTCATAGTAACGACACTAATTTGTGGAGATTCAGTGCATTGAGTTCCACAAATCTGAATGCATTATTTGTAAATTGACTGTTAAGATAAACATTTTGCACAATTTAGTATCTGTAATATCATTGTGTTGCCACTAGATGCCTGTATAGCCCTATGTAACAATCCCTAGTGGCTAAGACATTGCACATAATTTACACATAAATCACACATAAATTAATTTTATTACATTTTGATTTGGATACTATATACTATACTACTACATATTGTTTAGATATTATCAATGGCTACTTTTTTGTCTATATTTTTTGTTGTTGTTTCTTGAAACATTGATTTAAAGTGTCAGTTATTGCATTATTATTTCAGTCAAACCTATAAAACCCCTTTGTTACCCCAAACTACATATAAAAGCTTTATCAGTGGCATAAAAGTAACCAATGCAGCTACTTAATCATTTGCTACTCGTTAACGCGTTAATGTCCCCTTTAAATAACGTGACGCTCTGCCCTCTATGACGCTGCTCCCATTAAGCGCTGTTGGAAGTGAATGAATTGATTCAGCATTTCGACACCTCCGTAAGGATGCATTTAACTCGACAAAGCGGTCTAATAAAGGATGTATTGATCTCGTGAATTAGCGAATTTTACTATACAAATATTTTTTAATTTGGATGTTAAAGTTTATATGGGAATATTACATGACACGCTGATCCTTTAACAATGCATTGGCGCAAAAAACGCACACCTTTTGGACAAATGTGCCACAAATACTGCCTAAACAAAATACTGATTTTGTGCACTTTATTTACTGTACCAATATTTTAAATTGGCCTTTGAACTTAGCTTTATTGCATGGCAAAAAAAAGTGTTACCTTGCCAAAGCACTGACAGAGCCCACTGATCTAATGGCGTTGTTGAGCGCTCCAAATGCAAACTTTGCATGCAACAATCAGGCAGCAATTGACAGCACTCTGATCTAGTGGCATACAGGCATCGTCAGATTGCCAGTACACTAGCCCAATAATGTTGGGGGATCCAGTGGGGGCGGCAGTCATATTTCAGGGTGACCGTGCCACTCTTTATCACAACCCTGCTAAAAGTGCCAGTACATGCGCTCATTGGCGCCCCTTCAGCTGGTGGCGCCCTAGGCGACCGCCTAGCTCGCCTATGCCTAGAAACGGCCCTGCCTGGACTGTTCACATGATATGAATTCACAGGTAAAAGTTTTCCAGACTTGGAATGCAGTGAAATTCACTTAAGCTTGTGTTTTCAGCCTTTCACATTCACATGCGGATGAATGGTAGTCAGTGGAATGAAATGTGTAGCATGACTGACCCTTAATATCAATCTAAAAGTTGTAGCATTTTTTTATGTTAATATTACATTAGATAATTATGTCATTAATCAAATATAACACTACACTATATGTGCCTATAATGTTTAAAAAAATAATTGATGTACCTCCATACAAAGTTTCAGGGTGTTAGGATTGAGTTGTGTTGGTTTGGGTGTTTTGGTTTCTTTTTTTCTGTTGCAGGTTTTGTGATTGGGGCGTGATTTGAGTGCACCTGATGCTCGTCATAGTGCCTATTTAAACATAGTGCGAGAGTTCGTCGGGGCCACTGCTCAGCTGTTGCTTGGGCAGTTTGCCCGAACTGTAGTTTTGTCATTTTATGTTTTGTTTTGTATTTATTTGTTAGCACTGACAACACTTCATTTTGGTGCATTCATTCATTTGCATTTCATACTGACTGATAATACTGACATTTCGATTGTTATTTTGATTGTAATAAATATCATGTTGAATCCATTCTGCCGTGTCATTTCCCTTAATGTTACATCTTTGAGCCAGGTGCAACACAGGGACATATAATTAATTTAAAAAATGCTTCAAAATGGTTGTAATATTTTATAACAGTTGTCTTTTTTCTGCTATTACATCAGGGCTCACTTTTATGTCCTTTCAATTTATATTCCTGTCTTTGAATTATTTTAGTTTACTGAAAATGTAAACTTTTTCTTTCATTTCAGACCATAAAGAAGAGAACGAGGAGAGTGAAGAACTGAGTGAAGTGGAGGAGAAACATCATGTCAAACCCGAAGAGAAACCTCTGAGTGGCTTGCAAACTAAAAAGAAATTCTTAAAGGAAAGAGGACCTGAGAAATCTTTCACCTGCACTCAATGTGGAAAGAGTGTCACATGCAAACACAGTCTTGAGATTCACATGAGAATCCATGCGGGAGAAAAACCACACACGTGTGATCAGTGTGGAAAGAGTTTCACTTATTCATCAAACCTTAAAGTACACATGGGGATCCACACCGGAGAAAAGTCATACGCATATTATCAGTGTGGCAGAACATTTCATGAACCATCATCCCTGAAGAGACATCTGGCAGTTCATCAAGGAGAAGCCACATTCATGTTCTTTATGTGGAAAGAGTTTTTCACTGCTGCAAACTTTAAAATCACTTTAAAAATTTTGGCAGCTCAGTAGGTGGCGGGAATGCACCTTGTTGGTTGTTTGCCAACCGCCATAAAAAGCCAGAAGAAGAAGAAGAACCCCTTTGGCTGTTCCGAATGCCAACGGTAGATCGCAGTTGCATTTTAAAATAAATGAAAAGGAAAGGTGTATGCCTAAAGAAATATTAGTGGATCAATATTTGAAACAAAACTATTTTAATAGTATTCAAATATATATGGATGGGTCAAAAAAAAAAATCCAGATTCTGGGTATACAGCAGCAGCCATATATATTCCCTATTTTAAATATAGCACTGTTAAGAGGTTATCTAACGATGTATCTGTATTCACAACAGACATGATGGCAATTCAAATGGCTTTGCTGTGGGTGGAAGAAATTAATCATATAAGTGTAGTTTGTTCAGATTCATATTCCGTATTAAACAGTTTAAATAGTTGGAAATCAGCATCTAGACAGGATAAACTTTATGAAATTTTACAGAATTTATATAGAATAAACCAAACAGGAGTAAGAGTAGAGTTTTTATGGATACCTGCCCATGTAGGTGTAGAAGGAAATGAGGAGGTGGATAAGCTGGCCAAGTCAGCATTGAGAAAAGAAGAGATTGACATAGAAATTCCTTTAAGTAAAACAGAAGTAAAAGGTATTATTAAAACAGCAGTTGGAAGTATGTGGCAAGATGTATGGAATAAAGAGTCAAAAGGGAGACACTTATTTAGCATTCAACATGGGTGTCGCTAGGCCATTTTTAGGGGGGCTATAGCTATATATTTTAGATGCTCATATTTCATATGAAAACGGCGGCAGACTTAGATCAGCTCCTCCCCGTCTTTCAGCACGTTCTTTTTCAATCCAGAGCGCGGCGGCGCAGAGCGAGAAACAGAGGACATGGTGTGTGTTTAATTATCGATAGATTGTTATAATATCTGCATCTGTGCAGTTCTTTGTCATAAATACAGTTTACAAAATATCATGGGGGAGCAATCGGTTCCCCATCTACTATAGCCTAAGTTTTCTCTGCGTTCACCCCTCGTCACACCACAGGCTTCCTCCAGTGAAAATGAAGCACATATGAACTTTATAAAACTATGTTGCCATTTTCATTTGAATATATATATATATATTATACCCTCATTGGGGGCTGAGCCCCCCTAAAATGAAAATCCTGGAAGAGACACTTATTTAGCATTCAACATAAAGTGGGGATTGAAAGAAAGGTATATGGAGACAGAAGAGAAGATACTGTTATAACCAGGATCCGTATAGGACACTCTAACCTTAATTATTCATTGCATATAATAGGAAAAAGTGAGTCAGATAGCTGCAATTACAGTGGAATAACAGAAACAGTTGAACTTTATATTGTGAGGCATAATAGACAAAGAAAGCAGCTTGTTGAAAAACTATAAGAGATATGGAAAGCGGTATGCAGTGCAGAAGCAGAACGGGCTCATTGTGCTTTCACAGGGTTGTAGTGCGCTATGATCCGCGGCTATTTACCACCATTATTTTGATTTCAAATTCGAACGTTACTAAAATGTTTTTTTTAAGCAGATTATCTTTTTGCACAGTAGCTCATACAATCTTTCATAGACATACGTTTAAACGCAATATAGCCTATTAAAATGACTTCTGTATATTTGTATATATTATTAAGATACTCAAGCAAGTGGCAAAACGTAAACACAGCCCGCAGTCTACAGTTCCTACGTTAAAAGGTAGTAGGCTATCACAAACATTTTAAATTAAAACTTACCATTGACAGAAACAGCCGCCTTGTGCCTTTTCTTTTGCATTACATCCTTATTACAATCCTGCTGGTCATAAAGAAGTTTTTCTAACTCCACGAGTGCCATCTATGTTGCCGTAGCGTAGCCTTAAAAGGGTACTTTTCCTTGCTTTACCCCCATTGCTAAAAAGCCGTGTTAACTGGAAAAAAAAAAAACAGTTTTAGGCCTACTTATTTACATTTATGGTGTAATTAATACATTTCCATGCTCATTTTACAATCCATGTTCATTTTTACCGTGAGCAATGCGCTGTCACTTCAGCCTGTGCAGCACAACAAAAATAGACAAAACAAGAATAAAAAAATTAATGTTTACATTCGTATGTATTTTTACATGTATTGTATTTATTTTTAATATCAATGCTGTTTAAGCCAATATATCACCATCCCCTGACCATTATAATGTGACAAATTCATTAAAGAATACCTTAATTAATTCTGACATAGCCTAATAATCCCCCACGGCGCTTTTTTTAATTGATTTTTTCCCTCTGTAAAATTAGGTGTCGGCAACAGCTATAACAATGTTGATCATTGATAGCTCATTTAAAGGTAATGTCACCACCAATAAATTGGACTAATTTGGACAGTCACGCTAAATGGAGTCGAGGAGTCGATTCCATCGACTCCTATGGTGGGAGTCGGGAGTCGGAGTCGACTCCGAAAAACCTGGAATCCACTCTGCGAAGGCGGCGCGCGCGTCATTCAAACACACCTCACCAGAAACACGGCATGTCGCAATCTGTGACGAATGCAGGCACGTGAGTGACATGGAATTATGCTTTTCTTTGGCAACACTATCAACGCCTAAACAGAACCTGCGGTGGTCAGGTGGTACAGCGGTCACGTGGTACAAGTCGTAGCTCTCAGAAAACTCCCAGTTCACGAGTTGTAATTACGAGTTCTACGAGGACGTGAACGCTTTTTACAAGTTGGAATCTCGCCCATTATTTTTAAGATTTTCTCTTAAATCGGCGAGTTATGAGCTACTTTTAGCCTTAAGATGTTTTGTGAATACGGGCCCTGAGCATTTTTGTGTCAATGTTTGCACTGATAATGTTGCTGTTACTGAGTGTCTCGTGGAATGAATGCGAACCGATATCAAGTGTTACTGCTGCGATTTGATTTATAACCTTATTTCTCTCGCGTTTATCTTTGGGGGATCAAATTTGTTATAGTTACTATATGTGGTTAAAATTAATAACAGATACTGCTAAATACTTCATAATGAGCCACGTGAACATTTTAAATCTAGACATAATATGAATTATAACACAGGAAACATTAAAATATTTTGTGGTGCTCTTTCTGTTTATTGAAGATTTTATGATCAGTTTCTGCACATATAAAACTATAATATGTTAATAATTGAATTACTTCATTGCTACGAATGTATTTATTAAAATAATGAAGATGAGTGCCATCAAATTTACAAAACTATCACTGTTATATGGGAGAGTTTATATTCTTTTCTATATTTCTATGCAGATATATTCTTATTAATATGAGGGCATAATAAAAATATTGATAGAAATGTTCACAAAAGTGCATAGAATGTGTGAATTATGTGAGTGCATGTTACTGAATGAGCATTTTAAATTGATGTGCTCTTTGTCAATGCTGTTACTTTTGCTATAGTAATATAATGATTTACAAAGAGACAACACTTAGAAATTGGAGGGCATCTGCTTCGCTTACATAAATGCATAAATGTTTAGATTAATTAAAAACACACAAACTCAGTAACTGATTTTTTGTTGATTTTGGCAGATCTGCTGCTTCCGCACAGAAATTCATGGTCAGTGAAGCTCCTCCCACAACAATCACATGGTCAGTGATTTCACCAATAAATGCTGGAATTTTCCCATCAGTTTACAAGTGCAGATAAGCATCAAACCATCAGGAAGAAATGGAATCTGCAAAGACTGAGTTTATTAAAGAGGAAAGTGAGAACATGAGTGATCCAGAACCCTGCAGAATGAAACACACTGAAGAACAGCGAGGTTGGTGTTTATTCTTGATTCTTCATTCATTCATGATGCTGAAGGACATTAATGTTATAAAGCTTCAAGCAGTTTTTCAGATTTAGATAAATATTTAAACTAGTATGAAATGGGTACAAAGTTTTCTTCATATTTTGGTTTTCAACAAATGGTCAGTAAGGGAGGTTTGAGAAACTTTTATTTTGATTGTCAACATCAGATCAATCTAAATGTAGTTTTAGCTCTTTTATTTTATAATAATATTGTATTTATATTTTTGTGAAACTGTTACCAAAATGTTAGACATTTCTCAATATAGAACGTTGAGTGTGACTTTTTTTTTTTTTAAGCAATAAACAGTAAACACAAAATGTATCAAGTAAATGAACTCTCCAGAATGGCTGACAGGGTTGTAAGTAGGGGTGCTCCGATCAGGATTTTTGTGGCCGATCGCCGATCACAGAAAGCAGTATCTGCCGATACCGATCACCCGAGTGTGCACAATGCAGTGGCAATTCCTGTCAACTGTGCAGCGTGCAGCTTGCTTATAGACTGACGCGATGTTATTTGAAACCATTTGCGCATTTTGAGAGAGAAAGAGAGCGCGCGCGGTGATTCACTCACGCTGTTTGTGAAATTACGTCTCACACAAGGTTTTAAAATTACTTTATACGATTTTTAATGAAGAAATATGTACCTCAACTTCATTATTCTAATTATTTCACCCGCGCCGGACAGAGACTGAGACGGTGCCGCTGCATGTCGTGCCAAACGTCTCACAGCAGCATCATCAGCTTGAGATCGTTTTTTTGAGATCTGCCTTTTATAGAACGCCGATCAAACATCCCAAAGTGATTATCGGCCGATAGTGATCATTAGCCGATCAATCGGAGCACCCCTAGTTGTAAGCATAAATCAAGCAAACGCTTATTTATAGTGACTGATAAAGTTGTATTTGTAATAAATTATAGGAGTTATTCATAGTTATAGAGAATTTTTCTTGCAGTAACTTTTGTAACAGGGTTGATGAATGCAGTCAACACTGTACTGTTTGTGTAAAACGAATTGAGATTATTTTCTTGTCCTCCCATCATGCTGTAGAAAAGAGCCCAAATGATGTCACAATTTTAAGAAATGCTTTATTTATTAAAATGAGGAAAATCATTGAGTGAAACATGTAGGACACAGCTAATGCTAAATATTCTTCATTTAAAACCAGTTTAAGCCGCGGCCAATTTAGACTTTGACCATGTGAGATTTCAACAGACACAGAAACGCTCGTGATATGGTGTCACACTCTGCTGTGTCTTTCTTAAAAACATAAATTCAACATAATAATTAGAAAATGTACACATATAAAATTGTAATGGAAGGGCGTGACATCGGAGTTGGACAGGGGCTTTTCTCTGATTTTTACGTAGAAAGGGCAGCAGCTCACCACATAACAAATTATCTACATTATCTGGCTACATTTATTGGTCTCCTTCTCATACCCCTTTATTTGAAGTGGGGTCCCGAAAAATCTTTATTTGAAGGGCTGTCTGGCTTTTACCCAGTTTTCCACTGGGTACAGTACCTGATGTGTAAACCCTGCTGATCACTGATTGGCCGGAGAGTATAGTCACTACCTGCATCATTAAACTTGTCATACGAGACACCAGACCAGCTAGATTTAAAGTACCCCTATTATGCCATTTCCAATAGTGCCTTTCATGCAGTGTGTAATGTAGCTGTATGTGAATGTAAACGATCTGCAAAGTTGTAAAGCTGAAAGTGCACGATAAATAAAGTTATTGTCTCCCAAAATAAAGAATCGACTCTGAACGGTTGAAACGAGTAGAATAAAAACTACTACTAGTGACGCAGAATAAAAACGTTTTTCAGGAGCTCGCTCAGCTCTTAGCCGCGACAAGTGTATAATCCCGCCCACTTAAAGTGGTACTAAACTCTAGTGGAAACGTAAACCGAGTCATGCCGAGCCGTACCGAGCCGAGTCGTACCACGCAGTGGAAAAGCGCCATATGAGTGCAGCTTAAATAGGCTGACTGATTAGAAACAGGTGTGTAAGTGATTAGATCCTAGGCAGTGGGTTTATGGGAAATGAGTCCAGTCTGAATGGTTATGGAGACCTCTGATGGGAGTGGGAGGAATGACAGGGACCGGATTCGTGACAACAATCTACTCCATTGGACTGCAAAAGTTTGCCTTCTTTTTATTCAGCTAAGAGGTCACACCGTGAGTTATCGATCTCCTATTAGTCACACGTCTTTAGGGCTGCAACAAATGATTATTTTGATAATCAATTAATCTAACGATTATTAGAGTTTATTAATCGACTAATCAGCAATTATTCCAACCACAAATCAGTACGTTTTGAATGATTATTCAGCTTTAGCAATTAGTTAAAACGTTGAGTTCTACATATTCAACTAATAAATAAAACAAGAAAATCGCTTTAGCTTTTGAAATAGTTGTTTTAACCCTTTGAGCGGTACGGTCCCACATATGGGATTTAGAACGTTCGATGACGTCACATAACTGCCAAATTCAAACTGCTTTTTCGCGCTTTGGCTGACACTGAGACGCCGCTGCACTTGTCATATAATCACAACTGGGATGTTTATGGAAGCAACAATAACAATCCATTCAAATATAATTTGCCGACTGTTTTATTAATATCAGATACACATAGTGTAAGTAACTGAAGTTCACTCTATTCTTCTCCCAGTTCACCGGCCACTTACTTACATGTATTTCGGGAGAAATTGATGAATTTACGTGAGGTAAATCCGACTGACAGGACTCTCTGAACTGCAGCGCGAACAAACATGGCGGCGCCCATCTCACGTTACAGATCACGATCAAGATCATTTAGAACGGTTTTTAAATGACAAATCACACTCATTTACACATATTTATGAATCGGAATATCAGATTGTTCATGACATTGTATGCAAGTTTGTGAATATTTTAAATAAAAAAGGAAAAACTAAATAAAAGTGATCCATCTGACAGTGTTATTGTGGCCGCGGTGTGTCACGTGACAACCATGACGCGTCGCCATGGAAACAGTAAGGGGAAACGTTCTAAAATAACGGTCGCCTAAAAAAAACTCACTCTGGGGGGAACGCTAGAATATTTTAAACTCACCAGTGAAAGGGTTAATGAATTTTGAGCCAACTAAACAGGTCATTCTCTTTAAGTTTTCTGATTCTGCCAACTCAAAAAAAAATCACACACAAATTCTCTTTAAGCATTGTTTAATTATTTTGTTCACTTTCAACAGAAAAAAATAAATACAAATATATTAACCAGCTGCATTACAGACAAAAGAATCTATGTTTGAATGTAAACAAATCTCTTGGCAGCAGCAATAATGCCCTGTGTCGACCAAAGCGTTTTTAGCCAGCTGAAAACGCCAGGCGCTCTGCTGAAGGTGCTCAGCTGTGAGCGTTGAGACGCCGGTCTGTGTGGGTTCATGAGATTTTGAGGGCATTTCGAAAACATCTAGATGAGTACCATTCTTTGGTTCAGACGCATGGATTCAAGGACTGGAAAGTACTTAAACAAATATAGGTCCTTGAAGGTGCTTGAAATAAATTTGAAATAAATTGTGTTTAGTAGAATGGTGCTATTTTAAAAATGTTCCTATATGCGCTGTCAAAGACAAAACGAAACCGCGCTTATGACTGGGGTGGAGATGGGGTAGCGCGAGAAAAAATCTATGCACATTGCGCAGCCCTGCATGAACCTATAGAGAAGCAGTGCATTTGCGACTGAAAACTACTGCGTGCGATTATGAAAAAATATTTAGGAGCACCAGTGCAAATCACCCAATCAGCATATTTGTGTTTGCGCTGAGGGGAGCTTCAAAGGTTTCTAACGTACTTACAACGTGTTTTTGCAGCAGTGAGTAATGTATCACAGACATATGTTTAATCAGAATCCACTCACTGCTAAAAACGCTTTGTTCAGTGCTGAGTTCTGCAAGCTCACGAATCCTCTCATTATAAAAGTGTAGACAGGGTGCAAATAAGAGATTCACTGTGCAGTGAAGAGCTGCGTTGATTATAATGGAACTTTGTGAGAATTAAGGAGAGTGACAGCTTTTAATTATTAAGGGAGTTTGCAAATTATATTAATTTAATACAACAGTTCATTAAACAAGTTAATATTAAGTGACTTGCATTGTCTAAACACTAATGCCTGATTTTGCTCTATTTCGTCAACGAAAATAGTTTCAAACAAAGTAACAGCTGAGCCACTGCGCATCTCCATTCAAACAGCGTTGTTTCGTTTATGTATGAATGGGCGTTTTTAAAGGAATCTGATTCAATTACCCATTCATAAAGACACTTGCTTCATTCCTGAATGAATCAGCCGTTCGAACTAATCAATTGAATGAATGATTCAGTAATAAAATCAGTGACTTGCCGCCACCTACCGGCAGTTTTACTTTCATTTTAAAGTATCTTTTCTGTTATTTAAATCATGTAACATTTCTATATTAAAAATTTTACATTTAAAACATTAACCTCAACATGAAGTTATGAATTTAATTACATGCGACCTCTGAGCCTCATTAAACCATCTGAAAATACACCTACAAGCCACTTTTGTGTTCTTCTGTGCCACCTCTGTAGTACAAATTATTTTTGAATACTGATTTCATTTGATTGGTAACTTATTCTTATTCTGCTTGTTTTTAATCTGTTTTAATTAGAAATTTTAAAAAAGCGTATACATATTATTTTTTGAATTTGACAAAAGATGACATACTTTTAATAAAGTTAGAAAAATGCCATCACAAAGGTAAAAACAAAATTCCCTGTAAATCACTTTGTCAAATATCATCTTGTAATGGGAAGGCTAATTTTTTTATCAGAATTTTAGATTAATGATTAGCTCCTGAAATTTTTGACTGTGCTCCTAAATTTTTTTAAAACATTAACCTCAACATGAAGTTATGAATTTAATTACATGCGACCTCTGAGCCTCATTAAACCATCTGAAAATACACCTACAAGCCACTTTTGTGTTCTTCTGTGCCACCTCTGTAGTACAAATTATTTTTGAATACTGATTTCATTTGATTGGTAACTTATTCTTATTCTGCTTGTTTTTAATCTGTTTTAATTAGAAATTTTAAAAAAGCGTATACATATTATTTTTTGAATTTGACAAAAGATGACATACTTTTAATAAAGTTAGAAAAATGCCATCACAAAGGTAAAAACAAAATTCCCTGTAAATCACTTTGTCAAATATCATCTTGTAATGGGAAGGCTAATTTTTTTATCAGAATTTTAGATTAATGATTAGCTCCTGAAATTTTTGACTGTGCTCCTAAATTTTTTTTTAATTAAAAAGAAAAGTAAGCGTAGAGCCCTGTTTAACCATGTTTTATTAATTTAAAAATTGAGAAATTCTTTCAAATTTAAATCTTTTACAAGAATTACAGCAAAAACCAGTTTGATGCAAGAATATATATTTTTATCAATATTTGAGAAATTCTAAATTCCCTTGAACACGACTGCTCAAAATGGTCTAAATTTATGAAACCTACACATTCAAAACCTCATTACTCAGAAATTTTTCATGTAAATGTTAAGTGTAAGTGAAATGGTAAGTACTGTAAGAGGTCTTTCATGACGCTACATATGCTGGGGTGTGAATTTGATAGGTGCTTGATATAAAATAAATGGTGCTTTAAAAAGTCCTTAAGTCCTTGAATCTGGTGTTCATGAAAGAGTGGGAACCCTGTAATTAACAGTATGAAAAAGTAACTGACATGATCAAGCTTTATTTTATGCAAACCGAGTCGTCACGTTATTGTAAATATATTATTGTTGTTACTATTTTTGTATTCTCTAATAAAAACATTTACCACTAGTTAGTTGGCTCCAGCTCACGTTTAGGTTTAGTGCTTCAACATGCACGTTGTGCTCCTGTGAAATGCAAGTTCGGTCTTGCATGTATTGCACACAACAGCATTCTTGGTTTTAAGTTTTGTGAAACTTTCCCATACCTTGCTAGTTCAGATTTATTTGCACTCCGTCATAGGCCCTGTCCCAAATGGCACCCTAAACCCTCGCGGTCTTCCTTTGAGTCCTCACTTTCGTGACGTAATGCCGCTTTGACTGTTGGGTAGAAGTCTGCTGCGGAGCTCGCACCGGTGCGGACTCGGCAGAAGTGCGCATTGAGGATGCAAAGGGGGCGCTCGCGAGCACCCTTTTGAACGTTAAAATGAGGAATGGGACACCCTGCGGTCTCGTGGACTTAACGGACACGTGCACGCGGCGGCCATTGTAAGTCCGTAAGACTGCAAGTGCACATGAAGTCTTCCATTTGGGACAGGGCCATCATTTGCGCTATGTTTTTCTTCTACTGGAATAGCATTCGGGATGGCTGCATTACACTCTAGCGCCACAGCGCCGTAGCGGTCACATCGCGATATTGCAGGACCTTACATTAGGTCACATGAGATAAAACGACTACTCGACAATATTGTCGACAATGTCAACTAATCATTTCAGCCCTACACGTCTTCACATGATATGATGAATGGTAGTCAGTGGAATGAAATGTGAGGCGTGACTGACCCTTAATATCAATATAAAAGTTGGTGTCAAAATTGTAGTATTTTTAAAAAAAAAATTTTATGTTAATATTACATTAGATAATTGTGTCATTGATTAAATATATTTAATAGTTCTTACTACTAAAACACTACACTACATGAGCCTATAATGTTTTAAAAATTATAACTGGAAGACCAATGTACAGGGAAGTTTCAGGGACATATAATTAATTTATAAAATTGCATTAGGGCTCACTTTTCTGTCCTTTCAATTCATATTCCTGTTTTTGAATTTTTTTGTTTTACTAAAAATGTAAACTGTTTTTTTCTTTCTTTTCAGACCCGATGGAAGAGAACGAGGAGAGTGAAGAACTGAGTGAAGTGGAGGAGAAACCTCATGTCAAACCTGAAGAGAAACCTCCGAGTCACTCGAAAACTAAAAATAAATTAAAGAAAAGAAGACCTGAGAAATCTTTCACCTGCACTCAGTGTGGAACGAGTTTCACATACAAAAACGCTCTTGAGATTCACATGAGAATCCACACAGGAGAAAAATCACACGCATGTGATCAATGTGAAAAGAGTTTCCCATACAAACAAAATCTTTTAAAACGGCACCAGAGGATTCACACTGGAGAAAAACCTTACAAGTGTTCACACTGTGACAAGAGATTTCGTTGGTCAGTAGATCTGAAAAGACATGAGCAGAGCCACACTGGAGAGAAACCGCACACGTGTGATCAGTGCGGGAAGAGCTTCACACGCAAACAAAGTTTTAGAGTCCACATGAGGATCCACACGGGAGAGAAGCCGTACGCATGTGATCAATGTGGAAAGAGTTTCACGTGTTCATCAAACCTTAAAGGACACATGAAAATCCACACCGGAGAAAAACCACATGCATGCGATCAATGCGGCAAAACATTTCTTGTTTCATCATCCCTGAAGAAACACCTGACAGTTCATATGAAGGAGAAGCCATATTCATGTTCTTTATGTGGAAAGAGTTTTTCATGGCAGCAAAGTTTAAAATCCCATCAGAAATTACATAACGCTGTGAGAGATCATGTGTGCTTTCAGTGTGGGAAGACTTTTGCTTTGGTGAATCTTTTAAAACGGCACCAGATGAATCACACTGGAGAAAAACCTTACAAGTGTTCACACTGTGACAAGAGATTCAGTTGGTCAGTAGATCTGAAAAGTCATGAGACAATCCACACTGGAGAGAAACCACACACGTGTAATCAGTGCGGGAAGAGCTTCACAAGCAAACAAAGTCTTCGAGCACACATGAGGGTCACACCGGATGCTGGAATTTTCCCATCAGTTTACAAGTGCAGACCAGCATCAAACCATCAGGAAGAAATGGAATCTGCAAAGACTGAGTTTATTAAAGAGGAAAGTGAGAACATGAGTGATCCAGAACCCTGCAGAATGAAACGCACTGAAGAACAGCGAGGTTGGTGTTTATTCTTGATTCTTCATTCATTCATGATGCTGAAGGACATTAATGTTATAAAGCTTCAAGCAGTTTTTCAGATTTAGATAAATATTTAAACTATGAAATGGGTACAACATTTTCTTCATATTTAGGTTTTCTACAAATGGTCAAAAAGTGCAACATCAGATCAATCTGAATGCAATTTTAGCTCTTTATTTTATATTGTATTTGTTTTTGCATCAATTTGACCAAAAATTTGGGTATTTCTCAATATAATTTTGTAGCAATAAACAGTCGACAAAAATGCATCAAGTAAATGAACTTTCCAGAATGGATGACTGGGCTGTTAGCATAAATTATGCAAAAGCTTATTTATAGTTACTGATAAAGTTGTATTTTTATTAAATTATTGGAGTTATTCATAGTTATAGAGGTAATTTTTCTTGCAGTAACTTTTGTAACGGGTAGGGCTGGGTATCGAGTTCGATACTTTTTAGGCACCGACCGAATTGCCTCGATACCATCGAGTATCGAAAAACGTCTCGTCGTTCGGTACCAAATTTCGATACCTAAGGGGTTAATCTCATCAGCGTCAGTGAGCCAGTAAGCCTGCAGCACTAGCCGGTGTGTTCGACTAGAGGCGCGGCGCAGATCGATCATCCGCGAGAGCGATTCGAAAGCGCACGGAGCAGTCTGCTCTCTTTAGCTCTCGTGGTACTGTAATACACCAGTATAGAGTAGCGCGGGAGCTGCGTGGAGCTCCGATCATATGCAGATGTCCGTTCATACTAACGTTACACGACCGAAAGCGCGTGTTATGTGACCATTCATGCAAACTGTAGCATAATGCTACATAAGACAATAAATAAGATTTATATTCCGCTTTTACTCAAAACTCACTTTAAACCACCATCGAGTGTTTGTAATAACTTCCGATTGCCGTCTAACAGGGCCGGATTTACGCATTGCTCAAGACATTGAGCAAATAAATATAACAAACAATAGGGTAAAAAATGACAAACTATTTCCATGTCTTCCACCTTTTTTATGTAGGCTACGGAAATCACGCTTTCTTTCTCCCAGTCTCTCTCACAGACGCACACACAGTGCAGACACGCAGAGACGCGAACAGAAACTTCTTGTCAGCGCTGCACCGCGAATTTATCAGTAAAATAGTTTCGCAGCTGAAAAGCTACATGACATTTCTCAGTAGCGAGGTTCATGAAGGAGTTTAACTTAAAGATTCGCTATTAGTAGACGCTGCTGCTGAACGCTGCTGAGAGACGCATAGACGCAGGTATTCACACGCACTTAATATCTCTCTCTCTCTCTAATAACCGCATTAGACTGCATTAATAACTGCGTTAGCCTGCATATCAATGGCTCAAGCCTCTGTTATCAGCTCTAAAATGACGTTTTGGAATTTGCAACGGAAGGTTTGGGATGAGGTGCGTAAAAAAATTAGTTCAACCCACACGAGATTTCAGGACGGAAACATGTCAAATGTCTTGAAACAAATGATCTGAACAATGTCTTGATGTGTGGTTGGGACTACAGGGCGTTAAAATTATTAGAGAAATAATGCACTCCCGGAGGTGGTTATGTGGCCACGACTATATGGTATGGTCTTTCTCAGTTCTCAAACAAATTAAGAACTATTCGATTTTTATTGACTGAACGCAAGCGCTTATTCCGATAGAAAACACTGTATCGGTTTCCACTGATTAAGAAATATTTTTGTTTGCTTGGGTGGTAATATTAGGTCTATTATATTAATAGGGAAGGGGGCCCAAAAATGTGTTTTTCCTACGTCACAAATCCGGCCCTGCCATCTAATGTGTGTTTTGGCCATGTAATGTTGCTGAAATTAAATATGTTATTACCTCTGAGTCAGAGCAGCGATCATGGAAGAGAGAACACAAGCAGACAGCGCTGGAAGCTGCTAATGCTCATCAGTAAATCAGTGGAAAATAAATAGAAATCATGATTCTGTCTGAGCTATGCGTTTTAAAACAAACACTAACTAGTGTAAATGTAGCCTAACAGATGTGTAAACTGAAGACTATTTGAGCTTTATTAAAACTATTTTGCACTGATTTATTGTGTTGGTTACATTTTGTTCCTTTGTGCAGTGGCTCAGGAGATGAGTCTTTGAGTTTGTATAAACATCAACAAGCTGAAAAATAAAACCAAAGTTTTTTTTTTAGATAATGTAATCTTGTTAAAATTGATTTCATAAAATTGGTATCGAAAAAAGTATCGTTCAGGAACCGGTATCGAAGTCAAGGTATCGGTATCGATATCAAAAAATTTTGAACGATACCCAGCCCTAAATCCTACCATGTTTAGTATCAATGAATTCGTCTTCTGATGATCTAAACGAGAGTGTATATTATATGTTGGTACATAGGCAATATATTAGTGTTCTGAGAATCTTTAGTAATTTCGATTCAAGTTCCATATGCAAATTACCATGCTTTCACACAAAGGGTCATAAAACTCCCCA